GTGGTTTCTTGAATAATGGTGGGGTGTATGCACCATGCTTAGTCATAAATCATGGTTTATAAATCACAGTAGCTGTATTTACATATCACACTAAACCCAAAGTAAATCTTTTCACACAGAGAATGTGTGAGCCAGCAGATGATGTTGTATACAAACAAATGCAAGTTTAGGCTGCAACAACAGGAATATAGCTCTAATAACCAGATTTGACATATATAATACATTGTTATATATTTTAACAAGCCTTGTTTAGGCTTAAGAAGATAAGCAGAATCACACCATCATAGAATGTAAAGGTTTGAAGAGATTTAGTCCAGTCCCTGCCTGGGGATCCACTGATAGGGCATCCCTAATAGAGGACAATCCATACTCTGTTTAAATATTGCCTGTGAAAGAGAGTTCGCTGTCTCCTGAAACAATACATTTTGTGGAAAGAAACCTTTTCTTGATGTCCAACTGAAATCTATTTCCTTGTAAGTCAAATGGATTATTTCCTCTGGAACAATTTTGAACAATTTTGTCATGTCTTCTCTTACAGACAATGCAGTTTAGCCAACATAGAATAAAAAAGGAACAGTGATGTTTTAATGTTCTGGTTTTAAGGTTGACATGTGTGGTACTTAAAAGTTTGTGAATCCTTTTGAACATTCAGCATTTTTGCCTAAACATGATCTAAAAGTAAACTGTTCTCCACATGTCCTAAAACTAGATGAAGAGTACCCAATTAAACAAATGAATAAAAAAACATTGCATTGCTCATTTATTTACTTAGGAAATATATACTTGTTATGTCTCACCTTTACAAAGGAGGTGAGAAGTCCAAATTCCAATTGAATACAAACAAGCAAGCAAATCCAGTAATTATAGAGTTAACTCCTTGAGCCGATAAAGTTCTTGGCAGTCTCACATGCTGTCTTCCAAGTCCGACAAGAAAGCAGGAATATAAATCAGACAAGCTATCACCACACAAAATAATCCGGAGCTCCTCTGAATAAGTCACACGTTGTCCCGTACGAAATTCCCAGAGCAAACACACCCACTTTTATTCCCTGTGGGGCGTGTCACTAATTCAGCTCACTCTCTCATTCGTCCATGCCTCCTGCGCTGCAACCCGCACTTTTGCCTGCGACGCTGCCTCGCATCAAGCCAGCATTCGTCTCCTTGATTCCCTGTCAAAGGCTGCTCCAATATGCCCTTCTCCTGATTAGCCTCAGGCTGTTCCTCTCGGTTATCTGCCGATTCCTGAGGCACAATCAGGAAGGAAAGCACCCCCAATTCCTCCTCCTCATCATCTTCTGAATCCTCCTCTAAGAATGCAGGCTACAACACTATCCCTCACCACAGGGCCCCGCCCCGAGTCTGACGATCAGGACGTGGTTTCAAGGGGAACTGCTCATGGAAGCTCCATATGAGATCTGCAGTGTGGAATGTGGAAGCATCCAGCCAGGAAAGGGCCTCTGGTCCATCCCCCGGCCTCTCGATGAAATACTGAAACTGTCCTTTCAGCCAGCGGGAATCCCGAATGCTGACCACTGTGCCGTCAGCAGCGGTATCATCGTCGGGTACAGGTGGTGGAACATCTGCAGTGGAAGGTCGGAGATCACAGGAAGGGGCGACAGGAACCAAAAGGGAACTGTGGAAGACAGGATGAATGTACATGGAGCGCGGTAGGGTGAGCCGATAAGCTACAGGATTGATGACTGCCTCAATAGGGAAGGGACCGATGAATCGATGGTCTAGCTCCTTGATCAGGCGGTCGACCCGTAGATGTTTCGTGGACAACCACACCCGGTCTCCCACAGCCAGCGGGGGCGTCGCCCAGCGAGAGCGATCCATGAACTTTTTATAGTCCTCCTTAGCCCGTAACAATTGCTGTCTAATCAATTGTTGAACAGAATGCAGTTCCGACAAGAATTCCCGCATCTCGGGAACCTGAGGCACAATCAGGGAGGAAGGCATTGCCGAAGAGGAAGGTCCTGGGGAGGAAGGCACCCCCAATTCCTCCTCCTCCTCATCTTCCGAATCCTCCTCCTCTAAGAATGCAGGCTAAGTACTCGGAGCCACAACAGCTATGTATAGATAAATTATGTATTTTTAAAGATTGATTACTAAACCTTGAAGCACTTTAGGTCCATAAACTCAAAAGTAAATCTGACTGAATTGAACTGGGCTATATTCAGATATATGTATAACATTACAGCTTTTATATCAGAAGTAGGCTCCTTTGGTTTACTGAAAGTTACTTCTAGATAGGTAGGAACTGGTCATCAGCCTTCTTTTGCAACACTGAACATATTTTTTTTCTCCTTTTATATCTTCTAGCTTTTCTTATGCGTGTCAGATTGGTGATAAAGTATTTGATGTTGGAAGAGGAAATAAAGTTAAAACAGCCAAAAAAGAAGCAGCCAAACTAGCATATGAAAAGTTGACCAGATCCTCAACTTTCAGAGTATGTAAACTGAAATATACCATATAGTCTATGTAATGTTTTGGATAAAAGAAATCAAGTTGCTCTCTAAGTTTTGTTTTCAAGTTCCATGGAATGGAATTGTTAACAGTTTGAATTATGGTACAGTTTTCTGACATACAGAAAGAAAACCTTTCAAAGGGTTCAAATGTTATTATTTTCATTATAAAAGGTGATATAAGATTTGTGAAGAACAACTTGTATCCAAGCCAAACTTTGTTGCTTGGTGGTCAAGCTGGGGGGAGGGGAACCGGGACGCATGAGCGGTGTGCTAACACATGTGCAGCCGATTCATGTGAGTAGCAGGCTGGCGTGCATACACACACAGCTCAACGTGGCGCATGTTGAGCTGTGTGCACTTCTGTGTGTGAATGCCAGCCTGCTATTCGCATGAGTTGAGTTGCGCACACAGGCACCCACCCACCTATCACACAGCCTGTTTGCATATAGGCAATGGCCTGGTTGTGGCTCATGGCCCAGAGATTGGGGACCTCAGATCTAAGCAACTTATTATTGTTGCATTCATTGTAATTTCTCCAGAGTAGAGTTTATCTGACCATAGTTACTTATGCCTGAATAACATCTGGACAGATCCTTAACATGGTTTGATTGGAAAACTGAACCATCTTTCTCCAATGGGATTGGCTTGTCCCACTTGTGCTGGTAGAAGGGGGGCCTACTGCAGATCCCATCAGCCAAAGAATTTCAGCTGGTGGGATCCAGGAGAAGAGCCTTTTCTTACCATGACTCCTGCCCTTTGGGACATCTTTCCACAGGAAGTAAGATCCTCCCTCTTTATTTTAGCCTTCAAGAAAGTCCTTAAAATTTGGCTATGCTGGCTGGCATGGGGTCCTAATAGTAATAGCACTTAGACTTATATACCACTTTACAGTGCTTCACAGCCCTCTCTAAGTGCTTTACAGAGTCAGTATATTGTCCTCAACAATTTTGGTCCTCATTTTACTCACCTTGGAAGGATGGAAGGCTGAGTTGACCTTGAGCCTGGTGAAATTTGAACTGCCAAATTATAGGCCGCCAGCAGTTAGCAGAGTGCAGTACTGCACTCTAACCACTGTGCCACCATTGCTCTTCTTCTAAAGAAGAAGCTGTTTGCTGGAGATGATTGGTAGATAAACAGAGAAGACAGCCTCTTCTCAAAACCCTTGGTTTTCAGTTTGTTTATTTTGGTGATATTAATATGTTTTATGTTTATAATAGATATATGTTGTTTTATCTTGATGATGATGCTCAGATTTGCTTGAACTGCTACATGAGGTGCAAATTAGATAGATAGATAGATAGATAGATAGATAGATAGATAGATAGATAGATAAGTAGATAAGTAGATAAATAGATAGATTAGATAAAAAGAGATGAGAATTGTACTTGTGAACATGGGACACTACAAGTAGCCATGAACATGAACCAGACACCAGCAAAATGCAATTCCATCATGATCATGGGTGTGTGCATGTGTGGTCAAACTGGGCCGTAAGTAGCTTTGGTGGAGTGGGGGGGGGGTATCCTGTCCTAATTTCAAATGGTTGTTAAGCAACCAGTCATAAGCCAAGGATTACCTGCATATGTTTAAAACTCCCAGGTGTAAAATAAATGGTTTTTCTTACATTGTTATCTTTTGCTGAATAAATCTTTTGCTGAATAAATCTTTTGCTTTGGAATTACTATTTCTCTAGGCAGAAGAATGTCCTAATCCTTTCAGTGATTCTTCAGATGTGACATCTAGTAGTAGTCAAAGTCTATCGAATGAAGCATCTGGGAGGTAAGATTATACTGAGTTACTTTAAAAAAAATACTGTTTAAGTAAATTGACATAAAGAACAGAACATCCCAAAATGAACACCAATTGGGAAAGGTATGGTAATCAATATGAAAGACCTTTCCATAATTTTATTGTGATTGTGGAATTTTTATGTAGCTCCTTTTATGTTTTTCAGGTTAATAGGCTTTAGCTGAATCACTTACTAACAGAGTCTCTGTCTAGTTTATATTTTCACCCTTTTGTATATACTTGTGGTGTGATGATGTGTGTTCAAAATGGATAGAGCTTATGATATTTTGCTGCTTTCATAATTTTTGCTTCCATGATGCTCCTTTTGGGGTAGAGTTTAAGGGAATCTTGACAGTATCTTCTTCCCCTTCTACCTGTTCTATTTCGATTTTTTTTCTTATATTATCTGTGAGGAAATTGAAAGAATTAAGGAGGGTAAACCCCATCAACTCTAATTACGGGTAGTCCTCAACTTATAACCACAATTGAGCCCAAAATTTCTAAAATTGCTAAAATGACAGTTGTTAAGTGAGTTTTGCCCCATTTTACGACCTTTCTTGCCGCAGTTGTTAAGTGAATAACTTCAGTTGTTAAGTTAGTAACATGGTTGTTAAGTGAATCTGGCTTCCCCATTGACTTTGCTTGTCAGAAGGTTGCAAAAGGCGATCACTTGACCCCCCAGGACACTGCAACCATTATAAATACATGTCATTTGCCAAGGATCTGAGTTTTGATCATATGACCATGCGGATGCTGCAATGGTCATAAGTGTGAAAAAGGGTCATAAGTCACATTTTTTAGTGCTGCTGTTTGAATGATCACTGAACAAAAGATTGTAGGTCTAGGACTACTTGCTAGGAGTTAGTATTTTGGAATCAACTCATACAGGTTAAAGCAGTGATGGTGAACCTTTTTAGCACCGAGTGCCCAAACTGGAACGTGTGTCCATGCACATGCATTTGCGCATGCTGGGGGACCGGAAACCGAAGAGCAGCTGGCCGGTGCACACATGCCTGGTTTTTTGGCCATTTTTTGGGCCCTTTTCATGCCAAAAATGGCCCAAGGACAGCCTGAAAATGGCCCGAAGATGGCCAGAAAAATGGCCAGAAAAATTATATATATGACATTCAGCTTTGTTCGGGTATTTTCTCACGTCATTGTAGTTGTGCTTTTAAAGTTGTAGCAACGTTTTGGCAGAATCTCATCTGCCATCATGTAAGTGCCCGCGAAAACTTAAGAAAACAAATATCAAACCTCTACGGGGAGGAAATAAACAGCCAGATCAAAACCTACGAGAAACTGAAAATTAAAAGAGCAGGAATATTATGTGACCTCCAATTCCTACACAGCTGCAGAGACAACAATACCACACCAACCTGCTTCAAATTAACATTTCTTCAAAGCACAGCAGCCACTAAATGTATCCTGAAAAGAACTGAAATGGCTCTACTAAGGAACGAGCTCCACAGCAAGAGATTCCAATTAGATCAGTTAAACAAAGATTTGCTAGCACTACACCTGGAATTGAGCAGCAAAATCCACCCTCTACTTTGGGACAAGATTAAACAACTTACAATTTGGAGAGCTGAATCTGAAACCACTTACAAAAATGATAAACTCTTGAAAAAATTAAAGAAATTAGAACAGGACAAGAAAACCCCCAACAACTCACAACAACACCTGAAACAATTAGTATACAACGTTTCCAACAGAGAACTCACCAAAACAGAAACAGATGTCCTAACCAAAGGATTCAAAAAAGATGAGATTCTGCCGAAAAGTTGCTACAACTTTAAAAGCACAACTACAATGACATGGGAAAATACCCGAACAAAGCTGAATGCCATACATGTAAGTACCCGCAAAAACTTAAGAAAACACACACACACACACACACACACACACACACAAATATAAAAGCAAATTCAGTAAATTTGGTGTGAAAAACAGTCTGTAAATGGCCGGAAAAAGGCCATTTCCAGGCCATTTTCCAATGCTCCGGTGCCTGTGAAAACCAGCTCACATGCATGCCAGAAACCGGAAGAGCAGCTGGTGATGGTGCACATGCCCACTGAGAGGACTCAGTTTCGGGTTAGAGAGAAGAAGCAAGTTTAAGTGACACTTGCATGCCCTGGCATATCAGAAGTTCTTACTTAACTAGGCTTCTATACAAATGGAGAAAGTAGAGTCAAAATATTGGATGAATGCATTGAAAAGGAACACAATGCTACTTACCTTTTTAGTGAAGTTCATATAAATGAAAGGGCCATTTAAGGTGGTGATAGAATGAATGTCCAGTCATGGTGCTAACTCTCTTGTTTTCAAAGCAATATTTAGGGCAATATCAAGGAATACAGAGCCAAGGCCATAAAGTAATGCAGTTTATTCTCCAAGGAAATAGAGGAGAATTCTAGAGGAAAAAAAGATTTTTTTTGAGATTCCTGCAACATAAGACAAAATTACTTTCATGAACTGTTGACCAAACATTATTTTTGTGTCCATGTGGTTACTAGGAGTCATGCTTGATTTAAATGAGTTTTAAATACTGTATAACTATGTTTAAGTAAAAGATGTAGATCATCTGGAAGGTTTACACAACACTCATTGGCAAGTATCTATTTATCTGGAATAAAAATGTATCATATTAAAGTTATGTACATAAATTCATACCTAGATACTAGTTTTGTTCTAATAGAAACATTGCCAAAGTGTTTCTGAGCCATTAAAGTAGATTTATAGTAGTTCTAGACAAGCAAAAATAGAATAAAATTAGCAGCAAAGCGGTCAGTTTATCAAGGTGCTACATTTTGGTTCAACGTTTCTTCAGACATTTGTTTCTGTCTTTGCTTATCCAGAAAGTCTGTTTGTTCTCTATTATTTTCTTCTACAATAAAAATGTAGTAATAATCTAAAGCTTCAGTGTGTAAAATTATCTTTCAGTTAGAAATGGATATCAGTATCAGTGGATCTTGATATCAATAAATCAGAATGGGATTTTTCAGTATTCTAGCCTATATGCAAAGTAAGCAATATTTCAACAGCAATTTAAAAATAGACAAATTCAGATGGCTTCAGAAAAGTCTCAATTTATTTTACTCTGACTCTCTCATCAGCCTATTTAGAAGAAGATGGGAGCAAGGAACACCAGCATTACTCTCTTAGCCCTTAAAGTCTATTTCCAGGAGTCAGCACTGATTTGAAGGCACAGAAAGGGAGGGAGGGAGGGAGGAAGGAAGGAAGGAAGGATGGATGGATGGATGGATGGATGGATCGATCTGGAACAGCCTACATAATCTGCATTTTAATTTGGATAGATCATAAATTCTACAGAATTGCAAGAAACATGGATGGAACAAACCTTGTTTTTTATTTTGTGCATGCTTTAGTAGTAATATAAAGATTTAGCTCAAGATATCACTGAGTTGTTTGCTTGACTGTCATCAAAGTGTAGATGTAGAAAAGTATATATGTGGCAAACTTAATGGCAATAAAATGCAATCATGATGACCTGTGAAGATTGTTTTAGTTTTCTGTAGGTAGTTGTTAAGTCAGATTGTAATTATGCTGTATTTTTTTTAAAATTCTGTAGCAGTACAGATTTGGATTTGGAACTGGAGAAGACATCTGACACACTTACTGAACATGCTGATGCCATTTCGCTAAATGAAACTTCATCTTCTCAGAACGCTGTAAACAAAATTTTAAAATATTTTTCTATTTATTCTTTTATTGCTTTTAAAATAATGGCCCAAAATGGGAAAGATTCCACAAAACTAAAAATGCATAGATTGTCAAAGAAAAAGAAAAAAACATATAGAAAGTGCTTTAAAAATGAAATGATACAACAGAGGAAAATGAAAAAAAAATATATCATTTTGGCAGTAAATAGTTACAGTTCTATATGTAGTTATTTAATTAAATTATTATGAAAGTACATATTAGTTCTCATGCATTTATATAACTATCATTTTTAATCTATTTTTTTCTGTTTAAATGTCCCATATTTCATCATATTTGTCCATACAAGTCTTTGTCTATAGGCTATCTATTTATGTGGCAAATTAATCAATCTGTTGAATGAAAAGTCCTGTGAATTTATCTTTCCAATGCTGCAATATCAGGGCATAGATAATTCATTTACATTATCTGTTTAACAAATTCCAAATATCAGGTACTTAATCCAAAGAATCATATCATCTGATAATTGTAGCTTTTTGTTGCACAATTATTTATATAATCCAGTGCTTTCTGCCAAAACTTAATTTTAAGTGTAAGACATTGTGTTTTAAAGAAGCATTATAAGTTGTCCTTGACCTTCAATCGAAATGGGGACCAGAAAATTTGTTGTCAATTTGTGCGTTAATTATACGAGACATCATGTGATTGTGATTTGCAGCTGGCTTCCTCGTTGTCGTTGCTTATTGGAAGCTGGCTGGAAGGTCACAAATTTCAATCATGACCCTGGGATGCTGCTGTCGTTATAAATGCAAGCCAATTGTCAAGTATCTTGATTTTGATCACATGACTACAAATACAGAGTGATGGTTGTAAGTGCAAGGACTGGTCATGTGACACTTTTTGCAGTGTTGTCATAATTTCAAACAGTTGCTAAACAAATGGTCATAAGTTGAGGATTACCTGTATCCTTATTGTATCTCCAACAAAATGCTGTTATTGACAGTTCTTCTCTATACAAATGTAATTGAGTCCAATAAATTCCAAATATTAGATTTTGTTGTATGAATCCTAATTTGAGGTCCACTGATATTCTTTCTATAGAAGTTAAAACATTTGTGTGGACGTTCATATACAATATAGGCAATATACAAACCTCTAAAGAGTATTTTTAAATGTATCTTTACTTTGTGTTTCATAAGCAGTGTATATTTGTTATGAAGTTTGGCATGTTGATTTGACTATAACGTTATATTGGCTAGAATCATGAATAAACAGAAGCAACTACCTTTAATTCATTATTTAATGTGTTTGTATACTTTAGCACCCACTTTCTAGGGCACTTCACTATCAAATTCAGCTGGCTACACAGAACGGAAGCAACTAAAAGTAACTGGAAGTATAGTTGGGAAGCTTAGTTCTTGCCCATATTGATGAGTTCTAGGGAGAAAATGTAGAAAATCTTGGAAGTGTCTTTCTTACCCTTCTCATCTCCTCTTTCCTCTCTTGGAGAGTGAGGAACTCAAACTAAGAGGAGCCAATGTATTGATTTGTTAGTTTAAATATAGCTAATCAAATTCCAGTTCAAATTCCTGATTCAGAAATGGAAAATTGCTTGCAGAGATCCTGGTTTTAACATTCACAGTGGTCTTTCCTTCCATTGTAATTTTGGTCAAACCTTTGAACTTTAATGTTTAGCTTCATGGTAGAATAACTATATAACACTTGTTTCTTTACCTCCATTCTGCTTTAGGTCAGTCCACCTAGTCAATCTGTGAAACCTAAAAGGTATGTGCCGTCTTTTGAAATTGAATTATTAGCTGTACAATAAACATATTAAATCAATAGTATTTATATACAATTGGGTATAGCATTTATGTATGTCAATGTATTTCAATTTTTTTCTAAGAAAAGAAACACCCTCGGCTCCAAAATTTTCAGATCTGTCTACAAGAACAAGTAAATTCACCAAAAATGACAGGTAACAAACTACTTCAATTCTTGGAATAAGAATTATCTTTCTTAATTTGATGTTGGGTTAATAGGAAATCTAATAATTGGATATAGATTGATATCAACGGTGTTTGGTATAAACGGTGGAGGGGAGCACCAGGTGAGTAGCCCTAACTCTTTCTGCATCATATGCTGGTCAGTTAGTTCCACATATACTACAATGGAGATAAACACATTTGGAAAGCAAGGTTTCTTGGTTGTTTATATTTCGATTGTGGTAGCGGAACCTGATATCTTTGGTTTGCAAGACATACTCATACTATTCTATGGTAATGCATGCTTGATAGAGGTGATCATGCAAAGACTTATGCTGTCACAATTTGGATGCTATGCACCTATCAAAGCTGAAGTCACTCTGTATTGTCAGAAATTTGAGAGGCTTATATCAAATCAACATTTTTCTTTATTAGAATATAATTGCTTGAATTCATTACATGCATGCAAATACACAGTCTCCAACTTCCATTATTAAGATGGCCAGGCAAAATATAAAATGATGAGAAGATGTGAGGTACTGACAGAAGAGAATATTTGTAGCTCAGCCAAACAACCAGTAAACAGCCCAATCAAGGAAACCTCAAGACTATTCACTGACAGGGCAAGCCACATAAAACGAGAGCAAACCCCATTCCCTGCTAGCGCTGATGATGTTACCTAGTTTGGTAATGAAACATCTGTAAGAAAGCAGCCAAGCTCAAATAGTACCAAGGACCCCGCAGATGTGAGGGACCTGGTCAACAAAAGTAGATCTTCCAGATAGTCTTTGTTACACTTCTTGTTTTATACAATAAAATCTCTTTGTACTCAAACATTTATTTTGATCTCATAAATGTCTGGACGAAAGTAGCTATCTGGTTGTTTTCAATTTTCAAATGCTGGAATGGAAGTGATAAGATACCTGCTCTTCAGAATCTCATCCAGACAAATACTTTCTGATAATGAAATGTTCAGCAGCCCCCACTTTCTACATTCATGTCTAAGTGGTAGGTAAAACTATATCTTTATCAAATATAGTCTTGGCACAGCTTTAGATGATGTTATGATGTTGTGATGTTGCCCTGATCTTTCCTTTTCTACAAACTTCAGGAGATAATGAATTTTTGTTTGGGGTCAATAGTTGAATGAATAAGAATTGTAACTAATTCTTCCTATTTCCTCAAATTGCTGACTTGTCCAAAGGAGGCAAAGTTTTCTGTTGAGCCTTCCACTTCACAGGCAGAATTTTAAGAGATGAGAATAAATATTTTGAAGGGGAAATGTTTATTATGCTGCCTTATTTTCTCAATTGCACCAACTTGCAGATGATAGAAATACTCTTAAAAAATGATTAGATATAAAGAACTAATAGATGAACAGGGGGAACTAAAAACATTGGATAAACTAAAAGAACAAGGGATAATATTAGATTGGTGAGTATATTTGCCAATTCAAACCAAATTTAAGAAAGATGTAAAGGAACTAGGGATAGATAAAGATTTACAAAATTGGACCAAATCTTCACAGGTAAGGATATAAAATTCATAACACGAATGTAAAATTATTTACTGGAGGTGGAATTAGAGGAGGAAATTGTCAAGGGATCAGTGATCACCTGGGCAAAAAATGTGGGTCATAACATAAATTTGGATGAGTGGTAAAAGACTTGGACTGAGAAATGGAAGCTGACTTTGTCGACGGCATTTAAAGAAAATCAATATAAAATGTTTTGTAGATGGCACTTAGCACTGGCACGATTGGTGAAAATGTATCCAAATATAAAACCAGAATGCTGGAAGTGCAAACAAAAGAAAGGAACATTTTTCCACATGTGGTGGCAATGTATAGAGGTTAAAAAATACTGGAAGAAAGTACAGAGATGGCTTTTTGAGATTACAAACTATAGACAGAAATTGGAACTAGAAGCGTTTTTATTAGGCATGATTAAAGGGAATTTGAGTAAAGATAAAAGATATCTTATTGTACACATCTTAACTGCAGCAAGAATCACTTTTGCACAAAATTGGAAGAGCAATAGAATACCACCAGATAAAGTTCTAATTCAAAAGATAATGGATTGTACTGAACTAGACAAATTCACTATGGAATTAAAAGGCAAAGATGATTGAGAATATTATGCAATATGGGAGAGGTGGTATGAATGGGTGAAGAATAAAGATAAAAATGATGTATAGTCACAAACGAGAAACATGTATATACAATGACACAATTACTGTTAATGGAAATGAGACTTTTGTATTTATGGTTTTTAAAGAATAAAAATTATTTAAAAAAAATAAAAAAAATACTAATGCTCTTTAATGTTAATAGTGTTATTTCAGAGGTGTTCTGGAAAACAGAACTGATGCCAGCCTTCCAAATTTGTTTTTGTTCCAGTTATATTTTTATGCGGCCACCATAGATTTCTGAAGAGTAGTTTTTAATTCAGTTGAGCTACGGCAAACAGAAGATCTGCAAATATAGTCTACACCAAATGGACTTGCTGTTTCCCTTAATTCTTAAGATAAATTCAGAGCTGCTGTCTGATTTGGAACTGCTTTTTGACAAGAAAATGTTAGTGGACAGCATAAGTTTAATCTGGCTAGGCTGCTTCCATAGCTGTACCAATTCAGGAAACTATCCACCATTGTGCATTGGGTGATGATCCTATACTTACATCTTTAGAGTAGGTGCCACTGAATTCTGAATGTAGGCTTACTGTGTTACTTAAGTGCAGATGGAATTACCACAGTACCAATAGATTAGATTCCCTATGAAAAGCATCCAGAAGATAATTTCATTTGCATATTTTTTTAAAATGCTGACATTGGTCCAAAAGGATAGAGCTAAAGTCATGGCAATTTGAAAGTGTTTTGTTATCGTTGTCCCTGCATGCCTGTTTAGGCACAGCCCTTTTGCCTATAAACCCACCAGAAGTGTTTTTTGTCTAGGCATCTACATGGAGAAACCCTTTGAAGTGGTCATGATGAGCCTTCCAAAGGATATCAATGTTTTAATGCTTCAGAGAAGGGTATTTTGGTCAACACTTTATGCTTTGCAAAAGCTCCTTTTCCATTGCATAGTTAATTATTTGTACTCTTTCTTTTTATACATTCCTCAAAATTGAATTCTGGAATAGTCATATTGTTAGGCACTTTTAAGATGGAAAGGAAGGGATATATTAATAGTATATAAGAAGTTTGTTGAAGTGTCTTGGTAAAGATGAAGGTGAGGAAATATGCCTGCTTGGTTATAGATCTATGTAGCAGGTTTGTATATATTTATATGTTAATAAGTTTGGTATTATAGGTATTTTCAAACGTTTTGCTATATGCCATTCTAAGATTTTAATTGTTTTTAAAACAGATTTCTTCAAGATTTTGTTGATATAGAGGAAATTGGTTCTGGTGGATTTGGAAATGTTTTCAAGGCAAAGAATACCATTGACCGTAGATTATGTGCTATCAAACGCATCCTTTCAAAGTAAGTTAATGCTGTGCTTCATTTTATTTTTTATAAGTACAAGTTGGTATTCAGGTGCTAGGATCGCAGTATATGACAGTGGGGATGCTGCATTGATCATGTGCGCAATGACCCATTGTGAGTCAACTTCTAACAATTGTTAAATGAATGGTTATTAAATGAGGACTAGCTGTGCATGTCATACTTGAGCTTCATCACACACATGCAGGACGACTCCTGAACAGAGAAGTTCTAACAGGTTTTGAAACAATTTTGGTGGAATCTTAATGACTTATGTAGTCTGTAATTTGAATAAGTCTCTCAAATCTATTCTAGAGACTTTCAGATTTTATGCGTAGAAGACTGAGTTAATGTTGTATTGAGAATCAGTTGTACAATAAGGACAGATGTTAGTCCCATATAATTTTGTTGGGCTTTGAAAATACTTAGGTATCTATATCATGACCTGCGTCATAGATAGTGAAAAACTTGCAGTTGCCACCAATAAAGTTTCAAAATGGTAACAGAAATATTTTATTTTTCTTTCTTGTGCTTTGTCTATGAGGGATGTAAGTAACAAATGTAAAAAGTAGAGTTACAGGGAAATTTCTGTCTGACTTGATTTTGTATCTGAATTAGGAAAAGCAGATAAGAATAGATTAGGGATGTCTTCTTTGTTTAATATATGAATTTCTGTATGCTATTTTTTTGTTAAGTCTAAGTTTTATATTAGAACATTTCCTATGTTAATAGTAAAACTTAGGTGAATCACTAATTTTCCAGATTTTCCTTTTTTATGATTTCATTATCTGCAGTATACCTTCTGACACATGTTTGCAGAACTCCAAATCAGAGTCCTGTTCCATTTTATAGAAAAACTTGTATGTTAATTAGTCTTGTAAAGAGCTACTTCTGGAAATAATTTTGTAGCATAGGCTTTTGGACTAACTGTTAGCAACAAGGGTTTTTTATTGTGGCTATTATTATGATTGTTGTTTTGGCCCAATTGTAACAGCAAAACAGAAGATGAAACAAGAGAAGTTAAAGCATTGGCAATACTGGATCACCCGCACATTGTTCGATATTATAATTGTTGGAGTGGAGAAGATATTTTCCAGTCGCCTGTTACCGGGAAGAGCAGGTAATTTCATAATTACATAATGTGTATTTTTTTTAAAGAAAACATTTTGAATATCTGTTTTGTTTGTGCTTAGTTAACTTAGCAATTACTGGACATATTCCACTCAATTTATTCCATTCAGACTTATATCTTGCAGTCTTAAATGCATTCAACTTATATTGAACATAAATAGGCAGAAAGTGTCTCCTTTTATTACAAAGCAGGCTAAAATAAAAAAAAAAAGGAAAGTTGGCATGGAGCAGTATCACAGAGTCAAATTGTTCACATTTCCATATCAGGGTTTATGTTGAAATGCTTTAACCAGGGGTGGGATTCAAATTTCTTAACAACTGGTTCTATGGGTGTGGTTTAATTTGTGGGTGTGGCTTGGTGGTCATGTGACTGGCTGGGCATGGCTTGGTCATTGACTGGGTGGGTGTGGCCAACTAAGTCATTTGCGTGGGTGTTGCTTGAATGGGCCAGGAAAAAAGAAAGACCCAACCTCTCTGTAAGGGGGGAGGGAGGGAGGTTAGTTTTTTAAAAAGCCCAGAGGAGGGAAAAAGATAAAGTTGTGCCAAAGAAATCCCAGGGTGGGGACAAGGAAAGAAAAGGAATCCCTGCTCTGAAAAGGGAATACCCTTCCAAGAAAACAAAGGAGTCAAACCTTATTTACTCATACTTTAAAAAAAATTAATTTAACAGACATTAACAAGCAATTTCACTTTCCCAGGCTCAAGTCTCTTTGCTTAACATATGTGATATGTTAACATATTTATACCCCTCTCTGTTTTTAAGCACTAGGAATTCTCTATTTAACTAGATTTAAGAAAAGCACCTACATTAAGTTAGTGGCAATTTTCTATATCTCAGGGGCAATGAATGAGTGTGGACTTTATAACTATTGGACATACTTTTGGTCTTTTTTTCAATTCCATCTGTCTTCTGACACATCCTCATTCTTAGATTCCAAAGTGGTTTTCCTTTTCAGAAATTCTCCTGTGAGTCTCACCCTCAAAAACTTTGTGGTCTTCATCTACTCAGACATAAATGAGCCTTTAATACAGAGGTCTCCAAACTTGGCAATTCTAAGGCTTGTGGACTTCAACTCCCAGAATTCTTCAGCCAGGCAGTGATGTCGTGCATGCATGTGATGTCGTGCATGCGCGATAAGGACTGACTGAGCAGGGAACAGAGAAGCGGGCGAAGAAGGGCAGGGCCAGCCAGAGGCCCGATTTACTGGTTCTCCGAACCGGTCCGAAGTAGAATCCCACCCCGACCAACCCAACAAGCCTGTAAATGATATTCTTATAACAATAGAGTAATAATGCAGTAGAGCATTAATACAATCAAACAATAACCACTTCTTGACTAAATCTTCATATTCTAGCACCAGACCCACTCAAATTATTATATCTCCTAGGACCTTGCCAAGGTTCTGGAAGGCTACAAGAATAGAGGAACCATTTTGATCTTGGAGATGCAGCTACAGAATAGGAAGGGAAATCCTCATCAGGAGTGCCTGCATTTATTTGGCCTTTAAGAAGAAATAATTTTATTGTATATTTTCTGTATGCGAGTCAGTAAATTTTTATCTAAATTAAATTGGGCTTTCTGTCATCTTTTGGCATTAGTGTAGAAATTGGCTTTTCCTGATAGTTCAGAACTTTACTTGAAACATGGTTAGTTATATCATGGAGTTCTCAGCTGTATTTAAACCCCATAAATAAACAAAATGGTTAGATCAATGCAAACAATTGGTCCTACCACTGATGTCCATAAAGCAATTGGGAGGTAGATAGTTTTAATATTAATGTCTTTTTTTGTCTTACATTCTTCACAGCTCACTGAAATTTAACTGCCTCTTCATTCAAATGGAACTTTGTGAAAAAGGAAATCTATCGGATTGGTTAGATCAAAAAAAGGGACATTCTTGCAAAAGTGTTTCTATAATTCTATTTCAGCAAATAGTGGAAGGAGTGGATTATATTCATTCTAAGAATTTAATTCATAGAGATCTCAAGGTGCGTAATGTCAACAATTCAAAATACTGCTTTTCTGTCAGTGGGGTGGCGGGGGAAAGACCTATTGAAGCCCTTCCTTTTTTGTAACAAAGAAGCAAAAGACTAGCCAGATTGCTCCATTTAGAGAAGATTATGAATCCAGGGAAGAAAGAGGCCTACGATTGCTCCCTCCGACCTTTAATTGGGAACGGAAGAGGTGGCTGGGAGGGGATTTAGCCATGTTGGAAGTACACTTCAAAAGGACAGTGCCAGGAACCACTAAAGGAGTGTAAAAAGCTTAAAACAACCCTTCCCCTTTAAAAAAATTCAAGCCCTGGAATAAAAGTACCAGCATACAAAAAAACCTCCAGAGAAGCTGCTCAGAAAGTCTGAGTGTACTGCCAAGAACCATTAACAGCTGTTACAATGTAAGAAGGCTTAGCTGAAGAGGCAGTTTCTGAAAACACTTAAGCAGGGCAATAAGCAGGATTAGGGTAGAAACAACACACAGAGGCACACTAGAAAGTCTCCTTCCTGTCTTCCTGACAGGATTAACCCCTTAAGGTGGGAAAAACAAAAGATTGTTGGAAGGAGATTTCTCCCAACAGCCGGTTTACTGAACTGCTCAAAAAGTTAACTCTCCCGAACTGGTGTGAAGTGGTTGAATCCCACCACTGGTATACAATATTAAGAATTTTGACTGAATTATATAGGCTCCTTGTTTTCTATGAAACACTCATTACCCAGAAAGAAATGTGACTTTCTTCCTTTGTGTAAAATATCAGACCTGGCCCTAAAACTTTAGTATTTTTCCTGAAATTCAGCCTTGGATTCAGGCCTGGATAACATCACAAGTCTCAGGAGTTAATAGTCTAGATCAGTGGTCCCCAACCTTTCTTGTGCCACAGCCCGGTACCGGCATCACAAAATGATCCGCGGCCCGGTACCGGCATCAGCATGCATGACAAGGCAAGGCGAGCTGAGCGACCGGCCAACCAGCCGTCCCCCACTTCTCCCCGCCACCTTCAACTCCTCCTTTGTACCTTTGTTGCTGGGCTTCGCTTCGGGACGGTCGCTCGGCTCGCCTTGCCTTGGGTGCTGAAAGAATCCTCGTGCCTTAGTTTCGTTCGAAGCCCCCCCCCCTTCGATGAAACTAAGGCGCGAGGATTCCTTCAGGACCCAAACGCCGCTTTCCAACCGGAAAAGCTCACCCGGAAGCACTTTCTCGTCAAACAAGATGGCGGCGCCCAGCAAACCGGCGGCCCAGTAGGAAATGTTCCACGGAGTGGTACCGGTCCACGGCCCGGTGGTTGGGGACCCCTGGTCTAGATCATTTGCTTTATTGCAGAGAGGAAAGAAGCCATGCATACAGTATGTAGAAGATCTCAATGATGTAAAATTTAGAAATTAAGCCCTAGATTTAGGTTTAGATTTTGGTGACAGCTGGTATAATGTAATTACTATATTATTGGCGTGTGACCTAGGGATGGTCTATTCCACAATTACAGAAAACTGCCTTGGGTCAGGTACTCTTTCTCAGCCCAATCTACTTCATGGGTAGTTGAGGGGACAAAATAGTAAAAGTGCTAAATGCTGTCTTGAGCTTTTGAATGAAAGACAGGGATATCTTTCAGCTTGGGGTTTATATCTAATTATATGTATTTTAGTTTTACAAATGAACATGTAGAAAGAAAATGAGTGAACCATAACCCTTTCCTTCACTCTATTTAGTTTTTGCATTATATCAAGCTTTACTCAGATTTTTACTTGAACTACAAAGGTCAGAGCCAGAGATTCAGAGTTCCTATAAGCACTTTTGCACAGATACAAGTGAAACTCGAAAAATTAGAATATTGTGCAAAAATTCATTTATTTCAGTAATGCAACTTAAAAGGTAAACCTAATATATGACATAGACTCATTACATGCAAAGCAAGATAGTTCAAGCCGCGATGTGTAATAATTGAGATGATTATGGCTTACAGCTCATGAAAACCCCAAATCCACAATCTCAGAAAATTAGAATATTGTGAAGAGGTTCAATATTCTAGGCTCAAAGTGTCGCACTCTAATCAGTTAATGAAGTCATAACACCTGCAAAGGATTCCTGAGCCTTTAAATGGTCTCTCAGTCTGGTTCAGTAATTCCTACAATCATGGGAAAGACTGCTGACCTGACAGTTATGCAGAAAACCATCATTGACACCCTCCATAAGGGGGGAAAGCCTCAAAAGGTAATTGCAAAAGATGTTGGATGTTCCCAAAGTGCTGTTTCAAAGCACAGTAATAGAAAGTTATGTGGAAGGGAAAAGTGTGGAAGAAAAAGGTGCACAAGCAGCAGGGATGACCGCAGCCTGGAGACGATTGTCAGGAAAAGGCCATTCAAAAGTGTTGGGGACTTTCACAAGGAGTGGACTGAGGCTGGCGTCAGTGCATCAAGAGCCACCACACACAGACGGATCCTGGACATGGGCTTCAAATGTCGTATTCCTCTTGTCAAGCTGCTCCTGAACAACAAACGTCAGAAGCGTCTTACCTGGGCTAAAGAAAAACAGAACTGGTCTGTTGCTCAGTCGTCCAAAGTCCTCTTTTCTGATGAGAACAACTTTTGCATCTCATTTGGAAACCAAGGACCCAGAGTCTGGAGGAAGAATAGAGAGGTACAAACTGCAAGATGCTTGAAGTCCAGTGTGAAGTTTCCACAGTCTGTGTTGATTTGGGGAGTCATGTCATCTGCTGGTGTTGGTCCACTGTGCTTCATTAAGTCCAGGGTCAACACAGCCGTCTACCAGGAGATTTTGGAGCACTTCATGCTTCGTTCCGCAGACAAGCTTTATGGGGATGCTGACTTCATTTTCCAGCAAGACTTGACATCTGCCCACATTGCTAAGAGCACCAAAACCTGGTTCATTGACCATGGGATTCCTGTGCTTGATTTTGAGCCAGCAAACTCGCCTGACCTGAACCCCATAGAGAATCTATGGAGCATTGCCAAGAGAAAGATGAGAGAAATGCAGAAGAACTGAAGGCCGCTATTGAAGCATCCTGGTCTTCCATAACACCTCAGCAGTACCACAGGCTGATAGCTTCCATGCCATGCTGCATTGAAGCAGTAATTGCTGCAAAAGGGGCCCAAACCAAGTACTGAGTACATATGCATGCTTATACTTTTCAGAGGTCCGATATTGTTCTGTGTACAATTCTTGTTTTATTGATTGTATGTAATATTCTAATTTTCTGAGATTGTGGATTTGGGGTTTTCATGAGCTGTAAGCCATAATCGTCACAATTATGACAAATCACGGCTTGAACTATCTTGCTTTGCATGTAATGAGTATATCTCATATATTAGTTTCACCTTTTAAGTTGCATTACTGAAATAAATGAACTTTTGCACAATATTCTAATTTTTCGACTTTCACCTGTATGAGAAGAACCCTTAATGAAGAAGGCAACCAGCTAAATTTATTGTTTTATTTATTGTTTTAATTTTTTTATATGGTATTTTCATTTGGTGAATAAGTCCTCTAGAGTCATGTCGGCTAGATGGGTAGCATAGAAATTAAACAACCAAACAAAGCTGTAGAGTAGGAGTGACTAATCCTGGTAACTTTTAATACTTGTGGATTTCAACTGGAATTCTGGGAGTTGAAGTCCATAGTTTTTAAAGTTCCTAAGGTTGGACACCCCTGCTCTAAAATTTAGTCATTATATATAAAACACTCCCAAGGCTCAAATCTTATGCCTCTTTTTCTCACTCTTCTATTTTAGGGAGTAAAAACTTCCATTTCTCAAAATAGGTTTTTACATGTATTTTCCTAACAAAATAAATCTGATCACATAGCCTTTGCTTCTGACTTTGTTAGCTTTTACTTTTCCTATCTGGTACAGGCAGTCCTGATTATTTGCAGTTTCGGTATTTGCAGATTCATTTATTTGCAAAAAATGTATTTGTAATCCCAGAATCTGTGCCCAAATTGACCTCTGCTGTCCTAGGAAAAAAATATTTGTTCTTTGTATGCCTAAATATAACATGTTTTCTCACTCTACTTTTTTTCTTTTAAAGCCTCTAAATGTATTTTTTCATGATGAAAATCACATAAAAATAGGTGATTTTGGGTTGGTAACAGTAGGTGTCACTGACAGACAACGGACAATGAACAAGGGAACATGGAATTACATGGCACCTGAGCAGGTAATTATTGTTAATAATTATTTTGGTGTATGCCCCGAAAATCCTTTTGCAATGCATTTGCTTATTTCTGTTGGATATACAGGTAGTCCTTAATTTATGACCATAACTGAGCCCAAAATTTATGTTGCTGACAAGGTAGTTAAGTAAGTTTTTCCCCAATTTTATGATCTTTTTGCCACAGTTGTTAAGCAAATCACTGCAGTTAAGTGAATCATGCAGTCATTAAGCGAATCTGGCTTCTCCAATTGACTTTGCTTGTCAGTGGCTGACTAGGAAGGTTACTAATGGTGACGTGACCCAGGATAGTGTAACTCTCATAAATACATGCCATTTTCCAATTGCCTTATAATTTTTTTCCAAAGATATAATATTAAAAAAACGACAAGGACAACAACAACAAAAGACCAAAATTACAAACACAACAAAATAATAATAATAAAAATGTACATAACATGTATAAATCCAACATTAAGCATACTTCATCCAACCTGGTTGAAAGTTGACAGATATTTATAATTAAAGCTAATGGATCCCCTCCCCTAGATTTGTGAGTCTACAAATAATTATAAAATTTCACATCTATAACTGCAATATTTATTATATTTGACATCACAATTCTTTGAAAGATATCTCAAATGTAGAAAGTTGGTATCAAATAGACCCGATATCTGTTAGCTGAAAAAAAAACCTAATTACTAATAGCCTCCCAAAATGAATTGATTTTAAATTCTTCCTTAACAGACTGTTATTGTATTAAACTTGCAGAAACTCCATGGGCTGCTTCCATGTTCTTATAAAGTCCAAAATATTGTCTGTAAACCAGGAGTCCCCAACTGTGTGGTATGGCCCACTGGTGGGTTATGAGCGGTTTGCAACTGGGCTGCAGAAACAGCCAGTGAAGTGAGCGTGCATGTGCATGCACATCCTCACTTTCACATTAATAGGTTCTTGCACATTTTCTGATATGCCTCCATTTCTTAGGTAAAACTTTTTCTCCATCAAATCCATTAATAATAAGTTAGGTATTAATCTCATCCACACATTTAACTTCTCTCTTGTATGCATACTCATGACATTTTTCCGGTGGTTTAACCCAATTGCAGATTCTTCAAACCTTTGATCTATTTTAATCCAAGTCCCTGAATTTTGACCATAAGGATGCTACAATGTTGGTTAAGTGTGAAAACTGGTCACAAATAATTTTTAGTGCCATTGTAACTTTGAGCGGTTACTATATGAATGGTTGTATGTTGAGGATTATTTATATAGTTTTCCATTTGTAAGTTCTCTCTATTGTGCTATAATTTAAAGGGAGACTCTTACAAGTCAATAACCCTCCCCCCCCAAAAGCATTAAATTGTTCCATTTCATCTAAGAGAAAATTGTCTAGAATTTTTCCAAATAACCTTATGCTAAAAATTAACTTTTATTGTGTTATTATTTACTCTCATGCATTTTTCCTCAACAGCATAAGATTGTATACAATTCTTTTGCTTCTAGAAACTATAAAAAGCTGATTGAAGGTTGCACACATCTTTGAAACAAAATTCACTGATTCACCCTGTTCTTTGTTTTTACGTTTGAAGTATCTAATATTCTTGTGTTATGTTGTCCATTAGGAAGGAAGCAATTATGACAAGAAAGTAGATATCTTTCCATTAGGATTAATTTTGTATGAAATGCTTTCCCCATTTTACACTGGCAGTGAGAAATGTCAGGTAAATAATCCACTTTTTTCCTTACATCTGCCTTGCATGTATTTCTTAATAAAGATAGGGAAAATGTGTTCAAGCTGCTTTTTAGACTGACTTATTTAATGTAATGTTAGAAAAATAAATTAAAATAGATAACTCCAAAAAGGTATACATTAACAAGCTGAGCAAAAGGAGAAAAGCTATCCGCTCATCAAATTCACCAATGGAATGCCTTGGTGTAAGACTCACAGCAGATATATGGGGAGAAAGATTATTGTTGAAATAAAAGTAATAAAGTTCTCAAATTTTCTTTCATCTGCTGATTAAAGGCCATAGGGGTTGGCTACTACTATTATTGGCTACTGTGTACATATTGTAGATATGGAGTTCTGAAGTAGGCTTTTGAGTTATAAACATTTTGTTACAACGCTAGGCAGAATTGTACATATCTGGCATCACATATTTGAGTTGGGAAGTTCCATGGGTGTCTGTTAATTTACATATCATTGAAGACTTTGTAACTTTTTACAGGCCTAGAAAGTGTCTATAGGTCTGCGGATTGGAACTAGGCCTATTTCATATATATTTATATTATTTATAATATATGTATTACTGTTTTATATGCTTATGAATACACGCATCCCTATGCTACGACACCAAATAGTCTTTCTGCATGCACACATTTGTAGTCTTATTTTCACTGGTTCTCTGGAGGTTTTTCCGTGAACCGGAGAGGGTGGGGTGAGGTTTTGTTTGCTGGAGGCGGCTTTGGTTGTTTGTGCAATCTGGTTTCTGGCATGCCATAGACTGGTGCTGGTCCATGGATCAGTGGCTGAGGACCCGTTCTAGAAAGCATCTTACAAAAGCAAATACTCTTAGCTGTTTTAATGTGGGATTTTTCTGTTGCTAGATTGGTAAGCTGGCTAGATTTATGAAATTTAGCACAAATCCTTTAAAGTAGAGTTGTGTACTTTAAATATACTCTGATTTTTCAGGAATGGCCCAACATTAAAGAAGGAAAACTTCCAAAAACATTCACTAGGAAGTTTACAAAAGAGGTATACTATTGTAAAACATCTTTTTAAATTTTTTAATGTTTTTCTTAATTCCATGTTCATTTCTTAATTTTTATAATATCCTCCTCTTCATTTATAGACTTCTCTAATTAAGCAACTGCTTTCCAAAGAGCCAAGTCAAAGACCATCAGCAGCGGATATTTTGAGAATCCTAAAAGGCCAACCTCATACACTACACACTTGTTAGTGAATTTGTCAAAGCGCAGGTTTTTGGTTCATGTTTCTTTTGCTTTTCCTGATGTCTGAATACACAGATTGCGAGACACATTGAAATGTGAAGAATTGGGTTACTCATTGCTATATTTGGGATTTCCTGAGAAGTCAAATGCAAAGAACTTCAGCAGAATGGGAAGATCTAATGGAAATAGAAAGAATGCATTTTGCAAGACCTTTTAATCTCATCCTGTGTGCAAATGCATAATGGCAATCTGAAGTATCTGGATTTTTTTTTTTTAACAAAGAGTTTTAATGTGCCATTCCAATACTGTTGCTATACAGTTAAGTTTAATATTGTCTAGGGAAGTTAATACTATTCTTCTAACTCATGGAACTACTCGTAATCAAGTGTTAGTTGCTATCTTTTGCTTTGTGAAAAATAGTGCTATGTGATAAATCTACAGTTTTATGATGAGAGTATTCACTTCCTTTCAGATTTTTTGAACCTTTGCAAATGAATGCTATTGGAGCTTCATATAGATACTACAGTATTGATTTATGAAAATGTTATAGATGATATGGGTTGGTTTCTTTTGCAGAACTGTAGATGTAAATCCATAAATCAACCTTTTAATTTGCAATGCATACATGGGCAGTTGTTTTGGAAAGACAATGCATTTAATTGCACTTAGCTTTCATTTTTCTTACAATCAAGAGTAATGCATCTAACAGTGCTTATAATTATGTTGTTTCTAAAACAGATTTATAGAATACATTCTAATATGCTAACTTGCATTTGTGTTTTGAGAGTTTAAGAACCGTGGTGGCGCAGTGGTTAGAATGCAGTACTGCAGGCTATTTCTGTTGATTGCCAGCTGCCTGCAATTTGGCAGACTGAATCTCACCAGGCTCAAGGTTCACTCAGTCGTCCAGCACTAAACAGTATATAAGTAAGTGCTATTGCTATTAATAGCAATAGCACTTAGACTTATATACCGCTTGATAGTGCTTTACAGCCCTCTCAAAGCAGTTTAGAGTTAGCATATTGCCCCCAACAATTTGGGTCCTCATTTTACCCACCTTGGAAGGATGGAAGGCTGTCAACCTTGAGCCTGGTGAGATTCGATCTGCCAAACTGCAGTAGGAGTAGCTTGCAGTACTGTATTAAACCAGGTCTGCAGGCGCATGTAAACCTGGGTAGCTAGCACTGTAGCTCCATATGATTAATAAAACATATAAAAAACAAAGGACATTTGCTATTTATATACATTAATTATATTTTTATATGCAGCCCAAGACAATTCTGCACTCAGTATAGTCCCAGGCAAGCCAAAAATTGCTATCCATGTTCCAAATCATTTAATGTATTAATCAATTAAACAAACAATATAAAATACAACAGTGAGGATACAGTCAAAGTTTGAAAAAATATCTATAATAATGATAAAATGATGTAAAACTTTTAAAATAGACAAACATTAATGGAATCCAGATATACAACTATCTCAGTCTTTTCATATGTCATCTAGCACATATTGCTTTGTCTTCTCATTTCTATAATATAAAGAAATGTTAAAAATGAACAATATATCTCCTGAATTCACCTCTTCAGTATTGTTTTTTGTCCAGTATAAATTGTGTAATTTATCTAGTGTATGCAAATTCTTTGGAAAAAGAAAAGCTAGAGCACTTCTGAACTCAACCCCAGATTATGCAAGAGGTGGGTTAGAGGATCTTTGACAGATCTTTGTAAAAAAAAAGGGGGGGGGGGGGGGGGGGGATTGAAAATTTTGTTTCAAGCTTGTTTTTTTAATAAAAATTATATTTGCTATGAGTTTTTAAAACATATGAAAGCAAATGAAATATTAATTTTAAGAAAGATAAGCTATCTGTTTTATTTTTAAGAACAGGTATGCTAAAGCATTAGTTTTCAATAGAAAAAAACCCAGACTTTTAGGCCTATGCTTGGATAAGGTAAGGAAGAAATCTAAGGATTGTTTTTTTTAAAGGAAAATTTGAAGTTTTTTTCTACCTGCATCTACTGACTAACATTAGAAATGATATCCTTTAAGATGGAGGAGGAACCAAACCAAAAGGAAAGATTAATATGTTGGTCAAGATAAGTAAATCCACAAAAATTTTGGCTCAAAAACAGACAATTATTAGTGGATTATTACATGTATATCTTATGAACATGCCAATGAATTTTGACCTGTAGTTATAATAAAGGCATGGTTTTACTGAACCATGGAAATTTGTATGCAGCAGTTTAAACTATATTAAACTATGTGAACTAGTTAAAGCTTAAGTACTTGTTTTGCTGGCTACTAAAGATCTTTTTGTTCTAGACAACTTGGGAGAAAAACCTTGAAGAATCTCTGAAAAAAACCATTGAAAAAATAAGATAAATGGCTAAACCACAACATGTGACATGTCGATTAGTACAAAGGAATTCCCCCAGGGCTAAGACTGAAGACAGCATTATGCTGTCAGCCAGGTTATTCCTACTTTTGGTCAACTTTTTGTAGAAAAAGTTATTCAGATTGCAAGAAGCTTAAAATAAACTCAAATCAATGATTAACTCAGCAACTGTGGTGCATAAACCAAATCACAGCTGTATGTCTATGCATTAACTCAATGTTGCGTAATAATTTTGTTTTAAAAAAAGAAACTTTAATAAAGAGAAGAAAAGCACAAGGTTTTGTGTATGTTGAAGAATGGATTATTTTCCATGAGCCCCTCATCAAATCTCATGTTCAAAGTTTTATTGTGAACCTAAACAGAATGATCTTTGAACAGTTAAATTCATTATTGTTTTAGGGGTTCTTGTAATTTTTACTTTGCTGAAACCAAACCATGCATTTATTGAATCTACACCATCTAGTCAATTATGTTAATTTTAATTTTGTTTTTCAGAAGTAAACATAGCATTGTTTTAAAAAATAACTTGGTAAAATAACAAATTAGTTCCTATTCCAAATAATTTTTGAATAGAGCAGAAAACCCATTTTATACCCAAACATAGAGCATTGAGAAACGACCAATTTGCTCAATGAAAAATAGAGAACATAGTTCACAGCTCTGCTCTTCATTGAAACTACAAAATTTTGCTATTGTTTTGAATTTTTATAGATTTATTCATGATCTGTATATGTGGTCCCAGGGCAATTTGAAGATAGATCTTCTTGATCTGCAAAATAAAATAAAAAATGGAAATTTGCAGAATTTACAAGCAAACATGCATCCAGTACTAGATTAGAAGTTTGAAATGGAAAATGTATTTTGTTTCAAACCCAAAGCAAATAGTGCATCTGAAATGTTCTGAGTTGACTGTATTCTGAATTTTATTTCAAGCACTGAATACTCTAAATGGGCAGTTCCAAGCTTATTTCTTCTTTAAGTTGCCAAGTTTTATTCCAAGGTTAGAACAGGACACCTAGGTTTATTCTGACCTCAGAACAATACTCTTAGGAGATTGGCACAGTGCAACTGGGCTCTTTTAAAATTGGAATATTTAGGTTTCCATGAGAGGCAATCAACATAGAGAAACTGAGATGGTGAGTGAAAGCTTTTATCCTTCTTTACAATTTACAAACTTATTTAGAGTAAGATCCCAACTTTTATCCAATCTCTTTCTTTCCTGATTTGTACTTTGGTGAACATATCATCTTCTCTGGGACTTTATTTCTCTTCCTCCAGGGAAACTAATAGTTGACTTTTCTTCTCCCTCACCTGGGAATCAACTACCGCTCTGTGCAGTGATTGCAGCTTTACTCCAATTTTTCTTTGAAGCCACTTCCTTCTACAAGAGTCCTTATAGTTGCCTCTCCTTATTTTTCCTCGTTTTCTTTTCTCTCCTTCTCACCCCAATTTTGAGTTAGACCAGCAGCATGTCCCCCAACAATGCCTATATACAAGGCTTGGCTAATGGGAATGCTGTCTACATGTATTCCCACAATGCTCTTTGCTAGCAGCAAGATCAGCTCATCAGCCCTTGCATCAATACATCTGCACTTCCAGGGTAAAATTGGATTTCCTCTCCATTTTCTTCTCCTTTTGCTGACTTACACCATTGCAAACACAGCCATACTAGGCCATTAAAAGATTTTTTTTACATAAAAGATCCATGACTATAGTAAAACATTCTGAAACATCAAAGTTTTCAAGAAAATTACTAGAAAATAAGTAATAAAAAAGCAATGCAATCAAAATAAATCATGAACAAAGAAGCAAATTCCACAGTTATTTCTAATTTGAATTGTTTGATATTTTTAAAAAAACAGTTTAGGTTTACCTTGGTAGGCTGTTCCGCACCAGATGCAGTAGAGATACTCCTCTCTTAAATAAGTTGTTAAACTGATTAACTTTTCCGATTCCTGAAAAAGCACCAATAAATAGATCTTTAAATGCCATTGAATAGATCAAACAATCTGAGAAAGACATGTGTAATCATTGATTTGGCAATGAAAGGTTACATTAAATAAATTAGAATGTTTAACTTCCACTTTTGCTGCTCCTATTAATGACTGTTTTAGGACTCTTAATGTCTCATTACTTCTTATTTCTTACTACTAGAAGAAAAACTGAGGTGCATCTTATTTATGAGCACATAAAACCATGCATGAAAAGGATTGATCAATGATGTCACTAAAAGTCAATAGATTTGATGGCACTTCATGAAAACATACATCATATATAATTCATTATATGTTAACAAGTCATTTTTTGACTCCTAGTGATCACATAGATTTTTCCCCATACTGATCTAACCCAAACATGGTCTTTCAGATCTCTCAACGTGCCCTTCATTGCCACTGTAACTAAATCCATCCACCTTGCTGTTGGCCTTCTTCTTCTTTCCTTCCACCTTTTCCAGCATTAGAGCCTTTTCCAGAGAACTAGGCCTTCATATAATATCTTTGAAAAAGAATCAATTGAGCTTGGTTCTTTATGACTTGAGTGAGAACTTCAGGCTGATTTGTTCCATGATCGATTTGTTTCTTTTCTTGATTGTTCATAGTACTCTAAGGAGTCTTCTCAAACACCAAAGTTCAAAAGCGTAAATACCCTATACCAGTGGTCGCCATCCATTTGGGTAGTTCACAGAGAAATGTCACCCCCCCAAAGCACGCCCCAAAGCAATTAATCCAGGCGGCGCGGGAACATAAGGCTGCGCTGCCCACAGGGCCCATGGGAACACAAGGTTTGCATTGCTTGCATTGCAAACAATACGTAGTGACGGGAGGGGGAGAAGGGCGGAGGGAGAGAACTTGCCCCATGCACCTGGCCTGGCCACCGGGCTGCTTCTTTCCGCTTCTTGCTTCAGGCAAGGAAAGCAGCAAAAGTCTTTCTTTCTCTCCCCCAAACTCCACCAGAAATGAGTCTTTGGGACCCTGCAAGGCATCCTGCTCCAAGAGGCTGCGCCGGCGCGACAAGTCTCAGATTAATTTCTGGCGGAGAGAATTTGGGGCAGAGAAAGACTTTTGCTGTTCCCCTCACATTAAGCCAAAAGCCCCCCCCCCCCTCCAAGAGCAGAGCTGGAGTCATTATCCCGCGATCCCAAATAAAGAGTGATCAATCAGTAGGAAAACAGGGTGGGAAATTTTCCAGCAGACTTTTTGAGGGATTTTCCCAGGGACTCTGCTCTGTGGGGTTTAAAATTATGAGTTTGGTGGTCCCTGAGATCCAAAATGTTGGCGACCCCTGCCCTATATTATTTTTGAAATACCAGAGCTTATACTATTGTGATTCAGGAAACAGGACTACCAGCAGCAAAATGGGACACAGTTATGGTGGCAAAGGTTATTATACTGCTGGAAAATCTGAAGGACTAGGTTAGTGACAGACCATTATGAAGAAAATCTATGTGGCCTCTAAGAGCAGAAACTGCTTTCATGGCACATTGTAGAGCAATCAA